AAGAAAGCCCTTCCCCCAGTGTTGTGACCTTTATCTTTGTGGTGAACAGGCGTCATGACTTCGGCAGGATAATTTTGTTTGATTGACTGATCTATTCTCAGGAGTTATAAAGGTTTCACTGGGCACAAGAAAGTCAGCTTGCCGCAGGCCATTTGTTGTATCTGAATGTTGTGTATTCATCAGGACGTTTTTGGCACTGTAGTGAATAGGTTGGAGCAAACTTCCCTCTTACTTTTGTTAATGTAAGTCAGGGTAATTCTGTTGAAGTCAGTGTTTTCCTAGTGCAAAACCACAGTGACTGGAAGATACCCTCAAGGACCACTTTGCTTTATTAGCCCATTTGTGAAAAATAGTCTGTTGTCTCCACTGTGTGGAAAACTGAAAGAAAGGTCTCACAAGGATATTCCTCTAACCCTTTTTGATAAAAGAAATTTTTTTTCTAATGGAAATTTATCTTTTTACACAGTTTAAGCATGATGGTATTTTTACTGTAATTCCAAGGAAAATCATTTGCTCTCTCGAGAGTCCTGTACACTCTGTTTTCCTAGTTAGGTGGCACGCATATGGCTATGAAGTATAAGGAAGATCAGATGTGCAGCTGTACAATAAGTAGTCCAGTTGCCTCGTGCAGAAGATGTAAGTTTTCCACATTAGTCTGTTAAGGCTTTCAGGAGCAATTTTAGAATTAGCTGGGGTTTTTTGTGGTTTGGGGTTTTTTTGAGGGTTAGTTGTTTGTTTTTTTTCTTTTTCCTGACAGGAAATTTTAAAAAATCCCGATCTTCATTATGAAGATTATTATTATGTTCATTATTACCTTTATTATGAACTGGCCAGCTCATGCTGTGGTGACCTATATTGTAGACTTCAAGAACTGGCTTAACAGTTCTGTATTGGTACTAAACTCCCCGATAATTCTGTTTTCTAGTGATGAAATAACTCAAACTGCTTCTCATGGTTGCATTGTATGTGTTCTCCTTATGTTTTAATAAAAAGTGGGTGAACAGCATAGGTAGTGTGGAACTAACTCTTCAAAATAAACATTAAAGTTGTACAGTACGAGGGTAAATTTAACTATATAACCTTACAATAATTTATATTCTTATTTTAACTCACTTTATTATCTCCCCATTTAAAAACAGCTGTTCCCACTTTTTTTAAATTCACAAACCATAGTTTTAAATAATGTGTGTAATTGTAAAAAGTACAGTCCACTCTTCTTTGATTTATTTTTTTCCTCCTTTATTAGTATTTCAGGATACAGGGAACATAAATACCCTTAGCTCTGATACGGGCAGAATAACTAAGGTGATTGCCCTTCAGTTTAGGTCCAAGTGTAAATACCCTGTTTCCTAGTCTAGTAAGAGCTAATTAGTGCTACACACAGACAGAAGAAACTTTATTGTGTAATCTCATTGATGTAGTGAGCACTTACGATGAAAGAAGGCAAGCAAGAATACTGTTTGAAGTCAGCCCCATTAAATGTCTGAGGTGACAAGAACCAGAATATCCATGGTTTGTGGTATTCCTTCTACATAGTTCATAGTCATGGAACATATAAACACAGGTATATCAGCTGTGTGGTTAGACATAAATAGAATGCCTTTACTTCAAATAGACTAGGAAAATGAACCTATTCATATGGCGTATTTTTTTCCAGTTTTTACTTTGAATTGCTCTGGAATTGTATTCCATCCATCAAGGTGGGCATTTTGACAGCTAACACCTTCACCCAGAAAACTCAGAGACTGAGGTATTGCCCTTACAAGAGCACTACTGCATCAGTGTCTTGATGATGATGCATTATACATATATATAAGGACATATAAAATTTACTGTGATGAGTGAGACCTGTGCAAGATATAAACTCTTTGCAGCACTGGTTCCAAAACTCACTTTCTGAGAGAAGTAGTATCCTGTCTGACCAAGAGATCTCCAACAGACAACAAAACCACTTGACTTTCCATTTCTAACTCCCCAAATTTAGGCACTCAGTGTAAACATACAGTAAGAAGAGAAACTTAAAAAGCTGTATATATATATGGACTTGTTTGAACTGTCAAGTTCCAGAAACCTTCATCCTACACATTTATTTACCTAGCAGAATAAAATATTTCCTTAGTATCTTTCAAGCTTGTCATGAAGTCATATGCTGCATTAGGTAGTGCTGGAAGTCTTATGTGGTACATCGAAACAAATTTCCAAATTTTGGTCTACAAGGGATGCTACCCTTTTGTCTCAGCTGACACTTTTTTTAAAAAAAAATGTGGCTACTTGGTGTAGCAGTGACTGAAAGCTCTCATTTTGTCATTTTGTCTACAAGAAAGCAGATTGGTAAATGTGAAGTGAAAAAAAAGTTTTGGTAACTGAAAGTTTGTTTTTTTCCTTTTTCTTTACTGAAGTCATACCAGTTGTATTTCCAGAAAGATGCAGATGTAGGAGCATTAAAAATCCCTCCTCCTTCATGCAGTTAATCTCTGTTTTCCCTGGCTTTGAAGATCTAGCAATTTCTCAGTTACAGAATATTAGTTTTGTTCCTCTGAGGGTGTTCTCCTGTAGTTTGCATTGTTATTTGTTTGATCTGATGCAGCACATTATTTCTCTGAGTCTGCAGCTTTGAGAATTTTTTGCATGTTCCTGTGGAAACTCCTCATGTTTCCTGGGGTGATCATTCACCTTAAATATCTATAGGTTGCATAAAGGCACATTCTGCATTTATTGAGACTTCCAGTGATGATTCTTTATTTCAGTAAAATGGTAATAAAAAAAAAGTATTCTTAATTTTCAGTTGCTTATTTACTCTGTTAAAGTCTTAAGGGTCAAGAACAAAAAAATATTGCAAGGAACAATCTGTCATATTTCACTATAAACTTTGTATGTATATATTTATATGTATATTATGTTTGTTTGTTTGAAGGCCTTAGTTTAAAGTAAGCCCAATGCCAACAGCATCAACATATGTATTTTCAGTGCTAGCTTAGTGCATAGAAACCTTTGAAAACCAGTACAGCCCCTGGAAGCCTTTGATGCTGGTCAAGATAGCTCCAGCCAAGGCTGTTTCTCCCCAAGCTAGAAGAATACAGAATAGTGAAAGGGAAAGGATTTCCTTCTCCAAAACCAGTACCAGGATATGGGAACATTTCTGCAAGCAGAGATATTCCTGCTGTATTGTCAGGCTACCTCAGGAGAACTGTTTTTGCTCTTCCAGCATGTTAGCCATTGTTTTCTGGTTGATTGTTTTCTACTTTTTGGCAGTGCAGTCCTGTTCCCTGCCTGCAGTTACTGTCACACAGAGATTAAATCCTTTTATGTTCTTGATTTTTTGCAGAGCCAGCCAGAAACCTGTTCAGCTGTGCACTCTATAACCTCCCTTATGCAGCAGCATTTCTATGGGCCAATAATATAACTAGTGCTGTATAAACACAAGGAGTATACACTTGGCTCTACCTCTAAACTAGAGACATGAAAACCAAGTTTAGGATTAAACATTTTGATAATATTTTTTTCTCCAGGTACCTCTTTAGCTCTTTTCAAATAAAGATCAGCAATTCTTACTCTATATCATTTAAAAAAACACTCTTTTTAGTCCTAATATATAAATACAAAAGTGAACACCTAAGCTGAATAGGAGGAGACTTAGATTTCAATGGGTCCTTACTACATTAAAAAAAAAGTGGATTTGGAGACTTCATACCAGTGCTGATTAACAATTGAAAGATTTCAGAGAGAATACTTAACTGCTGAGCTGTCATTTAGGTACATTTATGTATCAGGTTTTGAAAGGTCAGTATTTGCATCTTTGGACAGTTCATCCCATCTACCTTACATGCCTACTTTAAGACAGAGTGATGGACTATCTGAAAACAGGTGTCTCCCTGTTGATCAGAGAGGTGACTGCTTTCACCTTGACAAGAAACTTCTAGGTGGATTGTGTTAAGTGCACTGAATCCGGCTGTGATTGATCTGCTTTGCCTGGGCTTGACGGCAGTTAAAATTATGTAAATCGTCTCACATCAAGTACTCTTCTGTGGGGGTGGAATTTAGGAAATGTTTGTTAGGTGTGATTGTTGCAGCAATCCCAGGGAAATCGTAAGGTCCTTTTTAGTCAGTCAGATTGCTTGACTATATCTCAAGTCTTACTTTTCATATTATGAAAGTTGGCTCTGAAAATACTAGGCACACAATGAAAACAAGCAAATATATTTAGAAGCAAGAAGAATGGTAATATTCATCTTGCATAAATCCCAGTGTGGTACTGGGTTCCTTAGAGGATTTGGTTTTTTCTTGTTTCTGTTTTTTTAGTCCAAGAAAGGATTTTTTCATTATACTTTATGACAGGAAAAATTACCAGTTAACCTGGGGAAGGGAAAGCACATCCAGCTTATATGGTGGCTTGAAAATGCTGGCAGGTCAGCCAGCTAGTGGGAGTATTTCGTCTAGGTCCATCAGAGGAGACAGAGGAAATAAGTTCAGACTGAGGCTGAGGCTGAGACAGCTTTTTTAGAGGAGATGTTGCATCATGGAAACATTCCTGTATTGTCTTGGCTTTGAACACATGAACAGAATTAAAAGTGTCTTTCAAGCATATTGGTGTTGGCAACTTGTGTTTTGTGAAGGAAGGTACTTCAACATGATGCTTTAACTTTTGTTGAAACATTAGTACAAGGAAACTCTGTATCTCTGGATATAACTATTTCTTGCTCCATGACAGGAGAAAGATACTGGTAAAGCGTATTGAGCTGAGGTCCCACATTTTCCAAAGTACTATACTTAGTGTATAAACATATCTGTTCTGGTTGAAGTCAGGTTCTGAGACAAGTATTGGTTTTGAATGGTCCTGTTGATCTGTTCTGTATTGGGTTTTTTGTTTGTTTGTTTTTTACTTACAGCCCAGCTGTCAGGAGATGATGTAGCAAGATCTAGAATATTCCTCAACTGATCTCATGCCATATGTAAAAAAAGCACTGTCATAATAGTGTGTTGTTTTATTGTGTCTTTTCCAGAGTGGCAAAAGTAATGAAGGTTCCTGTGTATGAGACACCAACAGGATGGAGATATTTTTCCAATCTCATGGACTCTGGACGTTGCTCACTTTGTGGAGAGGAGAGCTTTGGCACTGGTAAGTAATACGTAATGAAAAATTTCCACAGACTTTTAATGAGAACTTTTAATTTTCCTGGGTGCCTCAAGTCAAAGCCAAAAGAATTAGCAAATAAACTCTGTCTTGTGCTGGAACAGAGGACTGTCAGTTGTTCACATCTTGAGGATCTTCTTGTAACTCTGGTGTCCAGTACCTTGAGGTATGAAAAATGTGGAAGATGGACATTCATAACCCAGAGGCAATCTTATCACTGCCCAGACAGCTTTCAGAGGTGTCTGACACTCTTTTCTGACTTGAACATGATGTAGAAAGGTCTCACTGGTTCCACTGTAATAGTCTTTTAACAGACCGCAACAGCATTTGGAGGGATTTTGTCTGTATGCTTTTTCCTAATGTGATTCAGTGCACAAAGTATGAGGCTTGGTATGTCTAATGGTATGTCTAATCAAACCTGTTGCAGGCATCTCTTTTTGGAACATCACAGTTACTCAAATGTCGGATAAAATCATCATTAGAAGAAATTCAGTTACATGTCAGCATCTGTGTTTTCCCTAAGTATTTCTCCCTTATCTGTCCCAAGAACTAGTCAAACAATAGAGTGCAGAATGAAAGACAAATTTGAATCCTCATGAATTCAGTACTGATGGGAATCATTAGACCAAACAATTAAAACATGTAGTCTGTAAATCTTCACAAATGTGGTTTGGGTTTATGAGAACAACTGGATAAATTTCACAGTGTTTCTTTTTTTCTTTCCTGGATTCTGGCACAGAAATTCTTTCTTCTTTTTATTAGTAGGGTTATGTTACAAGCGTTTTTGAACGAGCACATATCAGAACAATTTAAGCATTTGCCTGGTTAATAAGTCATTCTGTATTTTGATGTGAGTTCCATGGAGTTTTTTATTTTATTATTT